GAAAAAAGAAAAGTACTCACTTTGTTACTCAAGCATCCTTCTACTTCATTGCAAGTGTTGATATCATTGATTGATCGTTTTGCTTGATCGCCGAACAATGCAAGTGGAGATTCGTCCATGTTGAAGACGTCACGTGGGGTAAAGGCCCCCATTGGGCCACGTTTTGGAGCCCATCGACTTGCTCGTCGAAGAAAGGTATAAAATGAAGTTGCTTTTTGATGAACATCATTGAGTGGAATCTTCTGTTGTTGTTTTGGACGTTGAAGAGAGAGTCGATGACGAACCAGAAAACGACCAAACCATTTTGGTGATGGACATGGGTGATTTAATTCTCCACTTAATTGTCGTCCACAGCGTTGAAGTTGACGAAATGTTACTCTTTCCTTACGAATATCAGAAGCAGATATTGTTGTCGATCCAGGATCAGTACGTTTTTGACGATACCAGGCAAATAAACGAGAATCAAGTTCCACGTAAGTTAATTTTTTACCACCTCCATCAAGACGCTTGCGTTTTTTACCTGATGGAAACAAAATTAGAGCTTGAGTTACTTCTTATATTTAATAAAAATGGATTATTCACCTTTCTTTTGAGATGCCAATTTTAATAATTTATCTTTATTCTGGATCCACAGGCGAAGTTGTTTTGTAGCACATCCAACGTCCTTGGCTGTTTGGTGTTTGTTGTTGTTTTTTTCGAAGCAGGCGATTGCATTTAATTTTTCATTTAAAGTCCATTGACGTCGCTTACGCTTTTTCATGATGGTTGATGTTGATGAAGACATACTATCGACATTACTGTTGTTATTAGAAGATGCAGATTGATGAGATGATTGTAATAAGTTTTCATCATCAGTAGATGATTCTGACGACGAATAATTAACGAGTGGTGCAGGTTGAGTTGAAGAATAATTTTCATCGCTATCATCGTCACTGTCCGAATTAAATTGTAAATAAGTACTCAATTTAATTAATTCATTTTCATTTTCATCGACAACAGACGTAATTTCAACGCAGGAATCATCGTCGGAACTGGATTCGTCCAACAGTGAGTTTGTAACAACGCCTGGTAACGGTGCCAGATGCTCTTCGATTTGGTACATAATTAATGAAAAAACAATTCGAGAAAAAGATATTTTAATTGAGTGACATATGAACGATACCGTCGAAAAATGTTTGTATATATATATGTCTATTCAGCCTATTCATTCAGCGCATATCTCTCGTTCAAAAGGTCGCGTTATGAAACATTAAAATATGTGTGCAATTGATAGTTATGTATTAATTTCGTCGTCTTAAATTAGATTAAAGAATTGTTCTGTCATGTACATCGATGTTTATTTCATGTAGAGTTATAACATTGAATTATTTTGACTTTACTTTACAAACATATGATTGAATGTATGATAATGAAAAAGATAAAGGAAGAATATACAACAATTTTATAAAGCGTGATGAGCATTTACTCAAGTCCTGTGAATGTTCAGAAGAAAATTGGTTGATTTTGAAAAAATTCTAAATCTCGGCCTTAATACAAGCCCATGGGCTTCTAATACGTCTTTCATATTGCTTCTTCCAGAGGGGACTTCTAATATGGGGGGCTTCTAATATGGGGAGGGGTTTAGCTACAATTTCATATTGACTTTCGTTAACACTTCGGAATAACTTAGGTATGATATCTGCTAGATCTTGTTTACATTCGGTGCTCGGTATTATTGAGTTGCGTAAACTTGTATCCATAGTTCATAGTAGATAATATCGTTTGAGCTGCTCGTTCCGGATTTTAATTTAGGTGCCAGCATCGGCGATTCTATTTTCGTCAAACTTGAATTCGCTATTAAAATATTCGAAAATCTATATTTTCCCCATCTGAATAGTCTGTTCTTAAGCTAAATTATGCTTTTTTGAAATATTCGAAAAAGTTATGAACTTCTGAGATATAGTTTTTGGAGCACATTCAGAAGGATGCCTATATATTCTACGCTTTCAGTGCATCAAGTGACCGTTGCTCGTTCTGTATATATTTCACCAGTATCAAAAGACGTAATCTTGTTCTTTGTTTCTCTAGTTCCACTTGATATCACGCAATCATTATGCGATATTAACGTTCTTATCGGTGAAAATGGAACACTAAGATTCACATGCAATGGGCATCCACGACCTAGTGTCACATGGTATATCTCCAATTTACTGTCCTTACACATCAGTCTTCTTTTTCATTTCTATCCAAAAGGTTCTTCAACAATGTCGAACTCACAAGCTCGGCCAAGCACACGATTGAATCCAACGAAAACATCTTCACACTGATCGTTAACAATTGTGATATTCCAGATAGTGGTAGGTATTATGCGCGTGTTGATAATGGTATTGCACAAAGTGAACAAACAGCCATGTTCAATGTCAAAAGTAACTGTCCTTATATACGCTAATGATACAGTATGAGTTACATTCTTGTATTTCAAGTGAAACCCAATGTTGAATCATTGAATCCAACCAATCAACTTTCATGTGTGATCGGCCAAGACACTCAATTGACGTGGAAGTTCACTGGTATTGAGAAGCCTCACGTATCATGGCTGTTCAATGAACAAACATTGCAGAAAAACGATCGATTTCAAGTGACAGAAAGTAATGACGGGACATCAACACTGTCTATTCGTAACGCGAACTTCGTGGATAGTGGTATCTATACTGCTCGTGCAACAAATAGCGTCGGTGAAGCTGAAGCAAAAACCACATTGTCTGTTGTTGGTATTAAACCAGTCATCAAAATCGACCTCAATGAACAATTGAAAGTTGTGAAAGGAGAAAGAGTTATTTTGAATTTGGTTGCTTTTGGAACTCCGAAGCCGGAAATCGTTTGGATGAAAGGTTATAGTCAAGTGACATCCAATAACCGCATTGGTATAAGTTCAACAGCGAATAACTCTGATGAAACATATACTCTGATAATTGAAAAGGTTGAAGTCGAAGACGAAGGCGAATATTCAGTCGTAGTGAAAAATAGTGCAGGGTCAGTGAACTCAAGAAGATGTAAAATGGCTGTCACTGGTGAGTACCAGACCTGTTTTGTGTTGCTATCATACGAGGAGTACTTTTTATCTGCCGTTTTACTATTTGCAAATGATAATGGTGGTTCGTCAGTTGAATATTTCCTGAATAGGTGCCAGCAATGACTTTTGTGATGCTTTATGGATCATTCTGTATCTTCGACAGGTGGTTGACCTTCAGCAGTTACCAACTTTTCTCTTTGGAATTGACTCATATAGAATGAAAAAGTGATCGAACCCGATCATTGGTCGGGTGTTCAGTGGCATCCTGTCACACCTGTTTCCGGTTGAATGACGTTCCATCACTTGTCTCCGCTTGAAAATATCTCATAGCAGCAAATATTTTGAATTTTATGTCTGTAGTGGCATAAACTCTATTAAGTCACAGAAACTACCGGAAATTTGGAAGGACAAAGAAGCTAGTGTAATGATTGCAGTTGAAAGAAGAATTGGTCTTTTAGAACTCTAGGATATGGGAGTCTCATGAAGTGACAAAAACGTCATAATATTTAGGTTACAAATCTTGCTTCTTCTCAACTATTGTGTCTGTCTAAGGCTTAAAGTTTCTATTCTGTCTCTAGACTTCGTCACTCCCTTTTGGAATTCAAATACTGCAGAACTACTTAGTGCCACCTTGTTGATCATCAGATTGGGTCTCGTGTATCGGTCTCCTCAAATGATTACCGATGTAGATGCTATCAGATTGCTCGCTTAAAACATTAATATTACTAATCCGTATCAGACCATACAAATATGTAGCATTTCCTCAGATGCCCATCAGAAAGTGATGCATTTATGCAATCAACTGTTATGAGGATGTAAAGAAAAGTAAAAGTATGTCAGAAAAATGCCTCGACTATGAAATATTTCTCTGTAGTTCAAGCGTCATGTCATGAGAAAGACGTTAGGATGTGGTTACATTATAAAAAAATCTCTTTTCCACTGAACTATTTTTCAGGTTCCAGAGTGGCTAAGAAACTTCTATGGGTTCTTCAAATGGATATACGCGTGGAACCTTTGCTAAAAAACCTTTTCAAGATCAGTAGGACTCAAAAACATTCCGTGGGGAAAAGAAAAAGACATCCAAGGTGGAAACGC